GTGCAGGAGCTCCCGTTTGGTGCTCAGGGTGGGGATGTGGGGGGGGGTGCAAGAGTCAGGGCAGAGGGCTGGGGGCATGTGAGGGGGGTGCAGGTGTCAGGGCAGGGGGTGGGGGGGATATGCCCCTATTCCACCACCCCTCTTCCCCAAGGCCCTGCCCCCGCTTCTTCTCTGCCTCAAGCGGCGAGCACGCTGACTCTGCTCCTTCCCGACCCCCTCTCTCGCAAGGGCCATCAGCTGATCGGCCGGACGGAGGGAGGGACGGACGGAAAGGCGGAGGAGGGGCAGGAACCCAGCACACTAGGGGAAGAGGCAGGGGAGCCAGCAGGACCAAGCTTCTGCCCCCTGCCCCTTGCCCCCGCAGGGGAGGGCGGGGGAGCGGAGGGTGGAGAAGAGTGGGCCGGGCCAGACTGGGCAGGATTTTTAATGGCACGCTGCTGCCTGCCGGAATTCCGGCAGGCAGCAGCGTGCCATTAAAAAAATCGGCTCGCGTGCCGTCTTTGGCCAACGTGCCATAGGTTGCCGACCCCTGTGCTAAGCCATGCAAGATGTAGCAGCACTCATCTTACTTTTGCTCTCCAACCTGCCACCCAGGAAAAGTTTTCAAGTTTCATTATCATCATTATTTGTTTTGTGGCGTGCCTCCCATGGAGCCCCAACCATGGATGAGGGCCACACTATGCTAGGCACGCTACAAATACCAAATCATACTATTTTTCCAGTCCTCACTATTTTTTGGTGCTCTCTAGATTTGAAAAACCAACAAACCACTTAACTTACCTTGCTGTGGCGTTTTTGAGCATCATAACGGATTTGAGTGAACTCACGGAGACCAAAGGACCCACCAATAATCAGGAGCTGAAATATTAAACAAAGAAAAAGCACTCACTAAAAAGACAGCACAGTACAACACACACTGGACTACTACAAGAGAACACTGACCTGCACCCATTGCAAGTGTCAGGAGGCCTCGCATTCTTCCCAAGGCAGAAAAAAAGACAAGGGGTGCATCACCTGATAAGCAGGGGGCATCAGAGCTTCCATCCAGGATAGTCTGTCTATGGATCTCACCAAGTTTCTAATTTATGCAGAAAGGACTGTAGGGGGACTCAGATTTTCTCAGTGCCTGTTCCCTCCCCATCTTTCATCCTTACAATCTTCATATGTAAATTGTTTTTCAAATGGCTTCTTGATTTGTCAGCAGCAGAGGACACTGCTATTGGATTTGTTCTCATTATTTTTATACCAATAACAGGGAAGTAACAATGCCCAGTTGGTTTATTCTTATGCCTGGGCATAAAAGGACCCAATTAAGTTTCTGGAACAAGCAAGACTGGAACAATGGTCCTACTGTCCTTTATGATGTCGCTGAAGAAATCAAACCCACTGCACCTGTATCTTCATTATTGTCCCATTTATTTTGTTGGAGCTCCCTCCACATCACTGAAGCTTATGAAAAGGAATAATAAAGGAAGAAATAGGCAAGGCAGAGTCTCATGTCAGCATGAAGAAAATCATGAAATGATTTGTTCTTACGACAGGCAGAGAGACGTCACAAAGCGTAAACATCTATTTTAACCTTTAGAGAGCCCTGCCATGCTCAGACAAACCTAAAGATCAAATACACCATTAAGGGCTGGCTAAGTAATCTAGTTGCCACATGGAAGATCAGAGTTCTGACTCTTGCTCTGGCCTGACACACTCTTTCTGCTGTTCTCTGGCAAGGCCCATTGGCTGACATACAGAATGGGAGGGCAACAGGCTTCAAAGAGAGGCATGTCTGAGGAAGGCAATGGGAGGGGGATGTTCTGAGGACCCCAGAAGAAAAACTATCCTGTATTTTCTCTCTCTCTCCTCACTGCTAGTTAACTCCTTTTCTGCAGGCTGCTGCAATTCACATGGTAGCAGTTCTCCATACAATGCTGGCTGTTCAAATGAAATGCATCAGGCTCATAACACAGCACGACAACATGCTGAGTCTCATACTTGTTAAAATCATGCTGCATAGACGTGGTTAAAATGTGTGCCCTTCCTAACTAGCACATTACCTCTGACAGATTATTTCAGTGATGCAGTATTTGTTCTGTTTTTGTTTGTTTGTTTGTTTGTTTTTAAGTGACTTTTCTTCTCAGTTTATTCCTCCTGAAAGGTGCTGGCCAAATTGATTTTCCACTGGAAGAGGTCGGGCTGCCCCACAACAGAAACAGCAATAGGTATAACCTCCCCTCAGAAGCTGAAAGGTGACAGATTGGTAGCACTGGAAACTGAACCCTTATGGATAGCCATAGGAATGGGCACCCCTTGGCAAGTGGCAATGAGTGCTCGAAGGAGTGAAGTCTGCACAGTCTCATTCTGTCTTGATCTTTTGGATGTACACCTCTACCTCAATATAACGTGACCGATATAACATGAATTCGGATATAACGCGGTAAAGCAGTGTCCCGCGGGGCGGGGCTGCGCACTCCGGTGGATCAAAGCAAGTTCAATATAACGCGGTTTCACGTATAACACGGTAAGATTTTTTGGCTCCCGAGAACAGCGTTATATCGAGGTAGAGGTGTACATGACAATTAGAGCCAAATGTAGCAGTGGCTTTTGTGATATGGACACCTACCTGATAGGAACTGGACCCAGAACTACAACTCATTTCACAAAGCCAATCAAAGAACCATCAAGTGGTAGCAAATAATTTTCAGTAGCTAACAACCTGGACCATTATGAACTAAACTGGGCCAGATTTCTGACTCCACCATTCAAGGAAGTGATGATATTGTCATAGATGCTGGATCAACAAAAACACATACTGCAGAAAGCAGGGATTTATATGGGAAAAGCTTCTGCTCACTAACAAATATTTTGGTAATAAGGTCTGAGAAAGAAAAAACAAAAACTCCAACATGCTGATTAAAAAGTGGTTTTAAGATCTGCCTAAATATGGCATGGGTGATTAGTCAGCAAATCCATTCATTCTTCTCGTTAAAGTTCAATTGCATGAAGCACTGAGCATCTCACAGGATCAGGCAATAACTCTAACCAAATGTGGTTTGAGTCACAGCATTTATTCTCATTAAAACAAGAATCTCCTTTGAAACTGGTCCTCTTTCATAGCTAATGACTAGTGTGTTAATTAACAGCCCAATGATTTAACTCACATTCTTAAAGCTCTAATGAACAGACCGCAAGATTGGTTTCAAGAAGTTTATTGCTATCACACACAATAGTTTACCACCTGGAATCACTAACATACAGTATGAAGAATGCAGGTCTAAAGCAGCTGCACTAGAAAAGTATTTGGTACCCAGTTGTCAAACTAGTCAGAAATCAATAATTAATCTTGTTAGATCCATTAAGCATTAGTTTGTCCAGCAATGAACACTCATAAAATTATACTATACAACGTATGTTCACTTTGTGTCTTATTCACATTAACAAAGACTTACAGCCAGCCTGTTCCTCATAAGCCAAGCCCTACTAAATTAAGAATGGTCAATATACTGTGGTTTGTGAAGCCACTCTTTAACCAAAATGAAATGACAACGCACACTCTTACTTTGCTGCATCTAAAACACTGTATATAATATGATTTAATAATCACCCTTTTGTCTGTGCCATAACTATGGAAAAACACTCAAAATTTCATGAAACAAGTCATACCACGCTGTATATGTTCTGTCTTGTCTTGTCCTGTATTGATTGGCAGAGACCATTTACTATATACTACTCAGCACACTTTCAGCTATATACAGTACATGATAAATAAAAATGCTACATACACAAACAGACATACAAAAGGGGGCTTGTGATTAGAGTATCTATTTTTCTTGAAAGTCAATATCTGAACTGTACTACCTAATTTAGATTGTAACACCAAGATGCCGTCTTCCTCCAAATATAGTACAGCTCTGAGCACTACAGTATTAAATAAAGTATAATAATCATCAAAAGCCTAACTTGAGGCTCTAAGCAAAATAGATTGGTGGTTTCAGACTTGTACACATTACTTGTTTGTTCAGATCACAAAACCACCACCAGCCTCTGCAGTGGAGAGAGAGGCTATGACTCAGCTGGTGTGACTAATTTACTCTGTTCCTTAGAATACAGTTCCAAACCTTTACCTGCCCTAATTTTACTGACATCACCGTTATATCATGAAATCTAAAGAATGTTTAAATTCTGTTTTACTTTTTGCCCTTCACACAGTGAAACCAGACGGGTTGGTTCCATTTTCTGATTTCCAAATCAGAAATAGTCACCTTCCCTAACAGGGACCATTGGGTGTGCCATAATATAAATATTTCCTACCACCACTAATAATAAATAATAATTCTTACCAATGTTACAATTATGTATATAATGCTGAGCAACTGAAGGAGGAGCAGTAATAAAGTACATACTGAAAATTAAAACCAGGGTGGATTTGAATCACTAGTGAGGAAAACTCGATTTAATCATGGATTTCTACATAAAAGTGCATTCTTGTTGATTGTTATAACCTTAATACATATTCTTCACAACTCAGAGATGTAGGTTTCGTTTTTAGAATGTACACACTATACATGTTTAAAGTGATTTATTTTGAAAACTTTTCAGAATAGTTTTACAGCTATATCAGAAAATGAATGATTGTTTGGTTATTTCATTTACCAAAAGGTAATTAAAGCAGATATTTATGAACTCATTGGGAGGTGAACTATCTCCAATTCAACAGGTTAATCATTAATATTTGGAGGATTTTCTTGCCATGCTGTATTAGGAGGAAAACATCACCAGACAGACATTTAAATTGTTTTATTTAACTAAAACAACAAAGTTATGTATTTGGATTTTTTCTTCAACTGTAAACATAATATTTTAACAAAACAAGCATATGAATTTTTGAAAAATCAAGTTTATTTTTGTTAAAATTGTTTTTAACTAAAATAGTTAAATGAAATATTTAAAAAAAAATTAAATTGGCTATATCAGACAGGTCATCATGAGAAACTTAAAATATTGGCTTCTGCAGCTAACTCAGTCATCTTCACCTTCATTTTCCTGTTTGTTCATAATTCGGAAAAGAAAGAACAAGTTTTCCTGCTTTTTCAGGTCCCAAATGATTTCTCAGTTTGGAATGAATTAGTCCAAAGGAAGAAAATAGTCTTTCTACACCAGCAGAAGAAGCTACTGCTGTTAAAAGTGAGATTATCACTTCAACAGTCTCTGAATCCAAGTGCTTAAGTGACTTCCACCAGTTCACTGGTGTGACTTTCTTTAAAACATCATCAGCAAACATATTTCTTGAATGGTTCACCCTTAGCTCTGAAGTTTATTATAGTTGACATTATGGAGGAATGATTGCTGGATGTCCATGTCATAGCCAACTTCTCTTCAGCAGTTTTGACCCTGGTACCGAGTATTGAGAATATCTGCAAGAAAATGAGCTGGAGATAGTGCTTGTTCCATTTGTTTTTTTAATGCTTGTAATTTAACTCTATCATTTGTGATAGACCCAGGCCAGTTGGGTACAGCAGAATAGCAGAAGGCAGATATACTGGCCACTGGATTAACAGTTTTCTGTTCCCTGATTGACCAGAGCAGGGGCTGCTCCAGGCTAATGAGAACACCTGACTCCAATTAACCTGCAAAGAGTCAGGTGAGGCCATTAAGCTAATGTGACCACCTGACTCTAATTAAGGCCCCGCTGATACTATAAAAAGGGCTCACTCCAGTCAGGCAGAGAGAGCCAGGGAAGAGAAAGTGTGGCTGAAGGGCTGGTTAATGAAGACACCCTCAAGTTATTGATAAGGGAGCCCTAAGGTAAGGGTGAAGAAGGGAGAAGCAGGAGAGCTGTGGGGAAGTGGCCCAGGGAAATGTAGCAA